CTTGGCACATCTCAGAGGTAACCTTATTCTTTACATCCAAGGAGGGAATGTGGGACGCAGAAAGCAAGGCAGCCATGCTGGTACCTGGGCAGACCATGGACAAGGTTCCAGCATATGAAGCCTCGTGGGTTGCCTACAGAACTCACCTCATGGCAGTGTGGTTTCGAAGTATAGGTGACAGATCTGCCCACAGCTTTGCCAGGGACATGAGGATCTCTCTGAGGCAGCCATGGTCAGGAGATGGCAGAGGAAGTGACAAGGCACCAGATATTGTTGCTGACCATAACCAATGGCAGAGGGGATGCTAGTGGCCACTGGGCCATGCCAGAACCTAGCATTCTAGTTCAGCCCTGGGTAACCAGAGGTGAGTGGCCTTGGACCAGGAGCTCAGCCCTCAGGGCAGGTAGCACTGACTCCTCCACTACCTTTCAGGACTCTCCTGAGGCACAATGAGATGAATGGGTTGAAAGCCTGAGAGCAAAGCAAAGACTCAGCACCCACAGTTCATGTCTTGCCTCGACTTACAGTGCTTGCCAGCCCCACCCTGGACATGGAGATTAGAGGAAGTCAGCACATCCAAACACAGGGTTTTAGAAGATGGTTCTCTCTAGGGCAAACTAGCCAGGCTGCCCATATGCAGGGAAGGAGGGGATAAAGAGGCCTAAGAGAATGACCCCGCAGAATGACCGGCAGTCACTTTAGAGCAGGTACCATTTCCTTAGTTAAAATGCCCAAAGCACCCGGTAGCAAGGGGATGTGAAAGCAGTCAGCCCCAGGTAGAGGCAACACAGGGGCATGTCTTCGGGTAGAGAATGTAAAATAAAACTGACTTGATGTCTTTTATTATCTCCATGCAATGGCAATTCTAAACAATGTCTGTGATAAAATGCTCCTTCAGGCACAGGCTGACAGCTCCCATCACCCAGTGTTAGGTGTCGTTAAGAGCAAACTCTAGGGGCCGGCCCGTGGCTCACTCGGGAGAGTGCTGTGCTGATAACACCAAGGCCCCGGGTTCGGATCCCACATGGGGATGGCCGGTTCGCTCACTGGTTGAGTGTGGCGCTGACAACACCAAGTCAAGGGTTAAGATCCCTTTACCGGTCATCTTTAAAAAAAAAAAAAAAAAGAGCAAACTCTAGGTTCAAATCGCAACCTCCCCACTTAACAGGTACATGAAAGTTATTTAGCTTCTCCGTGCCTCAGTTTCCTCATTTATAAAATGATGATAATAAGGGTAAGTACTCCATAGTGCTGCTATGAGGGTTAAATGGGTTAAAATGGTAAGATACAGTGCTTAGGACAATGCTTGGCACATTGCTATATACGGTTTACTATTATTAGTACAGCTTCCATTAGGTTATTATTTGAGCAGGGGGAACACATCCACAACAAGGATGGGGAACCTGATCTACCAGAATAGGTCTGGATCCACCCACCTGGGCCCTGCATCTAGGTAAGAGCCCAGAAGCATAGGAGCCTCCCTTCTCTCATGCGCATGAAAGCCTGTGACAGAGTGCACCACGATGCCCGACTCTTTCAAATGCTTTTGATGTCAGAGAAAGGGTGCCCACGTCACACACTGGACCCTGGATTCCCTCACCCTCACCTAGAATGCTAACTCTGGCCTTTTCCACCCTCACAGGTCTAGGCACCTCCCACTCAGCCACATCTCAGGATAGGCTGACCTACAACCTCTCAGTGGTGCCAGGGGCCTGGCTGTTTCCTGACAACCTTCTGAGGACACATGATAGACCCTGGGGTATCAGGCTTGCAAGGGGTCACCTTGGCCCAGCTATACGGGGAGGGCAGTGAGGCATCAAGCCCCTCCGGTCAAACTGTTGCCCCTTTAGCTGCCATGAACCCCTGACTTTCTATAGCTTACCATTAGGCTGGCATAAAACTTCTTTAACTCTCAAAAATACATACCTCCCTCAACCCAAGAAACCAAATACCGTCTCCCCCTCCCATGGGTCCTCCCCTATTAAAGATTACTGTAACTTAATCTCCAATCTCATCAAGTTGTATGCACTAAATATGTACAGCTTCATGTATGTCAATTATACTTTAATAAAGTGGTTTTAAAAAGTTACTGTAACTGGGCCGGCCCGTGGCTCACTCGGGAGAGTGCGGTGCTGATAACACCAAGGCCCCGGGTTCGGATCCCACATAGGGATGGCCGGTTCGCTCACTGGCTGAGCGTGGTGCTGACAACACCAAGTCAAGGGTTAAGATCCCCTTACCGGTCATCTTTTTAAAAAAAAAAAAAAGTTACTGTAACTTAGTATTACCTCGTGTTATGAAAGTAAAGTCTCCATTTTAAAATCACACAAGCCCCTTCCTAGAGATGCTACCTACCCATCCCTCGAGAGTCACCAAGACAGGACATGCTTGGGTCTAGAGGTTGGCAGCACTAATATAGCCCACCCTGAGCAGGGAACATGTGCTGTATTACCTCACCTGGGGGATGTAGAGCCTCTAGATTGAAAGGGACACAGCTCCTCCCTTTAATTTCCTGCTGCCCTCCTTAGCTTTCAAAGGGTATCAAAGCTTTTAACACATCTTCCCAAGTGGCAGCAAGATGTCAATTTCCCCCTAATCCCACATGATCTCCAGCTCTTCATAATGTGGCCCCCAGTATTGCCACAATATAGCAAATTCTTGGTAGTTACCCAGACAAGCCATGTGGTTCCACAATACCATGACACATACTTTTATACCTGCTATTTCCTCTTTCGGAATCCCTTTTCCACCTCCACAGATCTAACTACTTCCTACTCACCCACATATAGGGAAGGGCTGACCTCTGATGTCTAATCTCTCAGTGGCACCATGGTACTATGCACTGATATCCCTTTATTTTACCTATCATTGCATTTAACATACCACTGTCTCCTGGCAAGTCCTTCTCACGTCCTAGTCTTTTCGCCTGTATTCGTAACCTCTGATCCAGAAAAGGAACCTAGTGCTTATGCTATGAATAAAGCCCCATGGGTAGAGTGGGCAAGCAGGGAAAGTCAAGGCTATACAATGCAGTTTAAGACAAGCAGCCCCACTGTTAGCCCCCACAACTGTGAAAATACCCCTTCTCCCGTGACCTAGCACCTTTAGGAACTGAGATCTTATTGGTGGCAATTGAGATGTTATGGTGCGTTCCTTGGTTTTCCAGGCTTGCTCCAGCTAATCTCCATAGTCAATTGGGAAGAGGCAACCTGGGTCAGCCATGACAGTAAAGCCACCACTGCTAACGAAGATTATCCGATAGAGGCTCTCAGGGGTTGCAGAACTGACTGCCTAGAGGCATCCAAACTAAAGGGAAGGAAGGACTCCAGTTCCAGGTAAACTACCAATCCATGATGGAGCCCCCAGGAGAAGAGCTCTTGGCCTGCTGTTCAGACGGCTGGTGAGGGGAGTTGGCCAATCCATGCCCTTACCAAACCAGAGCTGACAGACACTGGGTTCCAGCAGATCCCTGGAGCTCTTAGGTTTAGACTTCTGCTAAACATGAGCCCATGTCTCTGCAAGTAACGGCGAACTGACTCTCTGAACAGTGTTGCAGTCCACCTCAGCCCCCAAGGAGGAATAGCAAGGATTCCACTTTTTGAAGATCCTGCCCTCCTGGAAAAGATACTTAGTAAAAAAGTGGCCAAAACCTCAAATGCTTTTTCCAAACTTTTCACTTGGCCACATGGTTCATCCTTCCCACCCCACAGCAGTGGGTCTGAGGGTCAGCCCAGCCCCAGCTTCTCAGGCAGTGTTAAGTCCCTGCTGAAGTCAACCCTTTAGTAGTAGTGTCTTTACCCAGCTTCACAGGAGATACTACCCTCCCCCAATTTCAGCCCATGGGGTAGGGGCAAGCAGAGACCCCCCTCCCCCCACACACTGGCAACCCTGTCACCCTCCCCCAACTCTTAGCAGAGATTCTGAATCAGGTGGAATCAGGATGGAGTTAAGGTCTCCAAAATTAAGGGCCTGTCAAGGTCCAAGAAGGACAAGGCCTTCCACAGCCAAAACCACCCCACCACACTAGAGGTACTAGTGGACAGATATCAGGCCCTCCCTGGCCGCTCTTTGCACTGAAGAGCTGTATAGTCTTCCCTTAATCCCTCCCCCTCAAAAAGCAGGGATCCAGACCTAGATTCTCACGATGCCATGCCATTGGTGGACTGGGGTTGGCAGCGGGCCTCTGAATTGCTGAGAACAGGAGCTGGCAGTGCTGAGCCCAGCCCAGTGGGGGGCCGTTGCCGCCATTCTGCACCAACCCCATAGCACAACCAGAGGTAGCAACACCAGCCCCCACCAGGGGCTCTGTGGTTTCTCCCCAGACCAAGGGGAAGGACGCTCAGGGTGGATAGCTAGTCCTTGGTTTCCTGGGCAAGAGCATGCCAAGGTGGGGCAGGAAGGGTCTCTCAGCGCTGGAGTGACACAGCAGAGGCCAGGGGCCCTTGGAGGGAGCTGAGAAGCCTACCCGTTTTCCACACCAGTTCCTTTCTCTGTCAGCCTAGCTGACAGCTTCAAAGCTTTTATCCACCACCCCACCCCACACTCACAGCCTCCTCACTATCCCATTAACCGTCCAGCTGCTGGTGATTCCATGAAGCCACCTCATACTCCCTTCCTTTCAGCCCACGGCGGGTAGGCAAGATGATGTGGCCTCTCCTTGCAGAATCCCACCCAGGCCAGCTCTGGGGTCTTGGCTTGGCTGTCAGGGCAAAACCGGAGGGAAGAGAACGTCTTCAGTCATCTCCTTTCCAAGTCTAATTAAATTGCCGGCTCCCCTCTGCCAAAGCCCAGGTTCTGGGGCTGTGAAGAAAGCCCATCGTCCCCCCTCCCCCCATGACTGCAGTTCTAGAAAACCAAGGTGTCGGGCAGCCGGTCCAGGCCTCCAAGGTCACGGGAAGGGGTCAGGGTGGAAAGGGCAGGGGAGTGAGGGTGTTGCCCGCCCGACAGCCATGCTAATCCTGCTCAACTCCTTCCGGCCGAGGCGGGGGTCCGGGCCATACGGGAGGTGTGCCTCGGTGGAAGGCAGCTAGCCGGGCCCGGGGGTGGGGAACCAGGGACGCGCGGGCAGCAGGCGTGGGACGGATGCGGCGCCGCTCGCCCATCGCGGGACGCCCGGACGGCGGCCGGCACGCGGCC